GCCCAGCCAGAGGTGGTATTTGCCGGTTTTCCGAACTACTTAAAATTTCCGCTATCGGTTCTCCAGAACTTGCTGGATTTCACCTCTGAATTTAGGGATACTAGTTATATATAGCAGCAAAAACAATTAGAATGTCTAGATTTTTTAAAAAGAAAGGACATAGATACATGCCGTCAAGTTGAAGCTCCGAGCTGCATCACTGCTAGAGGATTAATATGTTGTATATCCTTCATTTACCTGATTGAAGAATGATATCGAATTTAAATTCACCCACTCTGAAGAATGAAGATTAGAAGATCAGACAAAACATTAATGCACACACAAGCATACCTATACATTGCCAAATTGCCTTACCTTATTAACTATGACTGCCCATTCCCCTTCAAACCAATTTTCCACAAAAATGGATTAAGTGGCAGCAAAGAGATATGGAAAACTCTCTTTGTTAGTGGTCAGATGGCTTTTTACAGCCCAGGTATTATTGCCCCAGTCTGTCTATGAGCACACTTGCACACAGGGAGACACAAGCACAACTCATAACGTGCACATAATAACTAGAAGCTATACTCAAAACAACAACAACAACAACAAGTAGAACCAAATTTAAAACAAAACAGTAAGTCAATGTCTACTAATTAAAATTGTCAGTACCACCTTATTAAAATTAATTGATGACTCTCTGTATATAGTACAAAGAGGTCTTTGTGATGAGCTACAAACACAAGGAAATCTATGCATGCTTGCTATGGGTGCTTATTCTTTAGATACCTCACTGAGTTCAGTAGCTATTAGTCCCAAGACTGTTCAGTCTATTTGCCATCTTCATTCCCCTCCCAGTATAGAAGATCAGTGTCTGCAATGGAATGTAACTGCATCCATGGAGGTTCTGCACAGATGGAAGCTGCTTGTTTTCCAAGAGTCAGTGGAAGCTCCACATTGCAAAAACTCATCTTCCGCACATGGAGAGCTACAAGAGGAAGTAGGCCTGGTTTGCTTGTCTCCATACCTACAAAGCAATGGCAGCAGCACCTCCTTCACTCTTTCCTTCTTTTCAGTCACTTTTCACTTTTCGCATATTCTTTCATTTTCAGTACCATTTTCCTATACTACTGCATTCTCAGCAAATATAAGACCCGTTCATTTTTCAAGTGAATGAAAATTACTGTGGGGGAAAAATATATCTTCTACCTTATTATTTTGGGAAATTATTGTGCCTATCAATTGCATAGATGTATCTAATTTCCATATTATCCTTTTGTGCAAAAGCTTATACAGAAGCCATAAAACTATGATAAAGCATGAGTTGTCAAATGATGGATAGGACAAAGGTCTGGGAATCTTTATGAAACCCTCCATTCCCAAGCTTTTTGTGGCCTGCTTCACACTGGCATAAAAGAAAGAGGCACTTTACAATTTCTGCATGTCAGCATGTTTTCCTCAATCAAGGATTTTGGAAAATGGGACTGTGCTTAAGGCATGACCAATCCACCTCTCTGTACATTGTGGCTACATATGGGATTGGAAGGCTAGAGGCAAATTGACCTCTACTGGCCAGGAGACAGTTTCTCAGAGTCCCAGGAAAAACATGAAATGGTGAAGGAGCTGCCTTCTCGATGTTTGATTTTCTCTCTTGGTTTTTTTTTCTCTCTTTTGTCTCGTGTGTGTTAGATTTTGAGCTAGCGGGCGGGCTCCATATTATGTATTGTGCTTTAAAAATGTTAGGCACTTCACAAGTATTAAGGCATTCTGAAACTAGAACTTCTGTGAATAATAGATCACAGCAGTGTTCTGTCATTAGCGTGTGGGGAGGAAAGCAGCATGGTGCATGCATGCTTTTAATTTTCTTTAGCCCTCTTTTATAAGGTGTCTCATGTTTCTCTATCGTTGTTGCATTAGTGACCAAATTATAACAGGTTTTATTATGCATGTTGAGCTGGCTTTATAGAATTCCACAGGGGCTCCTTGACATACAAAGGTAATAAATTGAAGATATAGTCTACTCTAGGATGCTCCTTTCTCCTCTTCCTGAATTTTGCAGCATCTGTCAACTTGTCTGGCACATAATTCTTTATCCCGTTATCATACAATTTCAGTTTCCTGACATTTTTCAATCCATTTTCCTGATTACAGACCAAGTTGATTATTATACCAAGTAGTCTGCAGTTTTGGGCAGGTCTAGTTTTGGACAGACACTAACTCCAAGATCTGGTTACTCACTCTGTAACTTCATAGTGGTGCAGCAAGATTTCCAAGATCTTTAGCCTTATTAAAAGGAGCAGGGGAAGCAGTTGCAGGCACGAAATACATGTGGCTGAAATTCATCTTTTGGAGATGAATGGCTACTCAGCCATTTCTAGCCAAATATTCCTTAAGTAGTTATGTAACTATGCAGTGTTGAACTGTGCAATATTTTAATGTAGAAGGGCATTTTGCCCAGGTATCTGAATACATGTTCATTAACAGATTTGGCATTTTCTGTGCACATCATCCATTTCTGGGCTTTTTCTAAAAATGAGCAGCCACGAAACTTTAGGTTTCTCTAACAATTTCAGCATGATAAGCACAAACTTTCCAAATTCCTCCTACAACAGTATTAAGCATCTGGGAGGGCAGATAACTACCAATCTGAATTGGTCCTTTCAAATGTCACCCTTAGAGAAGCATGCAAACCAGAGTCTGCATTTCCTGCATCGGATGAGGAGAGCACATCTTTCTCCTACTGTCCTGGCCACTTTTTCAGAAGCAGAATTGAGAGTGTTTTAAAAAACTGCATCACTGTTCGTTATGGGGGTAGCAGTGTGTCATGCCCCCATCAGAGCCTGAATCCACGGAGGAGGACGAGCCAGAACTAGGGCTGATGGAAGTCGAGGGGATGGCCGCATTGGCTTTGCAGGAATGTGGGAGGAGCAGGATGAGGCAGCCCTGGGCTTCTCCGGCTTGGGACAGCTTGCCAGCAGGAAGGAACAGGGGGAGGACTGAGAAACGGCAGGCAGTGGAGATGAAGAGTGATGGAGCTCAGGTGATGAATAAGGACTGCCCCCTTCCTAATCCCGAGCACGGAGAGTGGAGAGGAGGCAGGAAAAGCACAGGCTAACCCAACGACTCGGGAGGAAAGCGCCCCTCCCCTCTTCAGAAGGCAGACCTGGGGACTGAGACTTAAGGAAATACTGTGGGGAGGGGCATTTGTTGGGAACAAACACTGAATTCATGGGCTTTTGTGTGCCATTGCCCATGTCTGGAGTTTGCAGGATTTCTTGCCTTGTTCCTTGCTTCGTGGACTCATTGCTTCATTCCTTGCTTTGTGGTTCATTGCTTTGTTTGTTTGCCTCGCTGGCCTTCTTGCTTTGAAGCTGTTGTGCTAACAGCATTTTGCTGGACTACTCGCAGCCAGAGGCTGCTGCTGTGTGTGTGAGTGCTTTGCTCCAGGACTTGCCATAAATGTGGTAGCATTTGGAAGAAAGTTGGAGCAATAAAAGGGAGTTTGAACTATCAGCTGGCTGTGTTGCCTTCATGCCTTGTCCTGAGTCATCACACAGTGCCTCAGATAGAAGGTCCATATAGAGAGTGGTAAGGACAGACAAGAAGATTATAGGAAGTTCGCCTCCCTTTATTCAGGATACTGCTTTAAGTGCTATGTGCTTAGAGCTCAAAGCATTATTATAGATCCCACACACTTACTATACCGTCTGTTTCTGTTGCTCCCCTCTGGGAGGAGGTTTCAAAGTATTTCTAGCAGGACTACGAGATTCTGTAACAGCTTTGTTCCCTATGCCAGCCATCTGGTAAACTCACAAGATTCCTTTTTCTTGCCATGTACATGTATACATCCAAACTAGACTGTGTTGTTTCCCCATGTCATATAATATATGTGGATATTGGGTATATGCATAATATTTATTTATTTATTTATTTATTTATTTATTTATTATGTATTGTCATGTTAATATAGTGTATATTGGAGGTGGTGACCCTTTGAGAGCTGTATGCAATGAAATTTCAGTTTAATGTATGTCAATTAGTGTACATAAAAGTTATTCCAAGTCTAAGTCTTGTACCATTCTTCGCAACAGTTTTTATGGCATTAGATCACTTTCTCAATCCAAAACCTATTCTGCTGTACTAATTAAATCTGGTTCATGGAATATCTGTGCAATGATATCTGGGAAACAAGAAGAACTGCCAGGTAAGCTGTTTTATCTATAAAATGTAGTATTAATATTTCTCAGCAACTAGGAATAGTATTGGGAGCCACCAAAGTGGTTTTAATGAAACAATGAAATAGAAATTGTTTATTGACTTATGGGAAAAGACATCTATTGTCTAGAAATCTATTCACTGCGTAAGCAGAAATATAAAATGGTCATTTTAAAACTTCTATAGCAGCAGATGGTAAGGGGAACGTTGCCCAGAATCTATATGGAATTCCTCATTTATGCCTGGCAAAAGGTGGAAGGAAAAAGAAAAACAGAGTGACCAGTAACAAGGCGGATGGGTTTGATTACAGTAGTGCTGAGCACACCAATTAGAAGATGCTGAGAAGGACAATCCATATGATCAGTAAAAGTCAACACTAATTAGATGACCCAAATCAAAATGTACTTATGAAATAAGTATGGCTTGGAGATGGTCACTAAAGAAAGCCATTGTTAAGAAAAGATGAGAATTACCTAAAAAGTCTCTTCCTTTAAAAAAAAAATACAACAGATCTGGAAATAGTCACAGAATTTCTAATAAGAATATGCACTGAGAGAAGTATGGTTTTTCTTCTGCTAATTCCTATGCCGGAATCTAAAATCTTCATCTGCTTTTCATTATCGGGCTAAGAGCAATAACAGCAGGTTCCTCCGCCTGCAGTCCTCCTGCAATCCCCTGCCCAGGCTGATCTTAGTTGTTCTGACATGATGATAACTCAGGAGCTGACAGGCAGCACTACAAAACAATGAGCTGGCACCTGGAAGAATCCCCTGGGTGCCATTGTGGGAGTGAAGAGCATTGTCAGCCTTGAAAGAAACCAACTAGCTTATACTTGCACATTTTAATTTTATTTATTTTTTTTGAAGAATTGCAGTTCAATGAAAGACAGGTGGTTTCTCCAGGATGACTAACTTGATGCCTGAACAGGTCTCCTTGGCTTCCTTTGTTCCAAGAATGTACCTGTGTTAATTCTAAGTATCCTAAAAACAATTGGCAGGAGAATAAAGAAACCCCTGCAGGCTCAAAGCCAATCTGTGGATAATTAGCGCCAGGTTGAGGTATCCCTGGGGGTGAGATGAACAAATGGCAGAAGCAACATCATGCCATCCCAATGGAAGCACCTTTTCTTTTACATGTCTTCACCTACAAGCAGAATTTACATCACAATGCTGCAACTCTGCTTTCATTGTTTTGATCCTACAACTGTTCCTGCACATGGGATTACGGTAAAAACTGCTTTAATGTGGCCACCAGTTACCCTCAGGCCTAGAGACTGCAAATATGAACAACTCTGTGGAAACGATTCTCATGTTTTCTACATCACTGTAATGAGAATAGCTACAATATTTACAAGCAGGACTGATGCAATTTGCTTCAGCAACAATTAGGTTCTAATGTTCATGCACTCTAGAATATTTCTTAAGGGAACTGGTGCATTTTACTGTGTAAATTTACATAAATCTTATGTGTCAAATTACCTTGGGAAACCAGCCAATTCCAGCATCACACAGTGTCCTCCCTCTGCTAATGTAGCATCTAATATGGAGTCAAGAGATGTAGAAACTATGAACATCTCTTGTTGGCTTTGGTTAAGCATATGCATTCTGCCTACTTTAAAATGTTTTTGTGAGGAACGTTTGATTAAAAATTGGGCAGCAAGGAAAAATGATGCAGGAGAATGGATTCTTACAGAGTTGTAACTCTAGTACAATTGGGAAAGGGGAGAAGAACTGATTTTTAGTGTTAAAAAGAACCAGCCAATCTTATAATGGATTTTTTTTTAATGCCTATTTTCTTTGTCAAAGCAAGCCTAACCTTAACCTTAACCCTTTGCTTGGGATATGAGTAGACAGGATTTTCTGCCAATTGTTTGAACTACTTGTTTTTTGAAACGCCTATTGGCATTTGTTTATTTGGTTGGTTGGTTGGTTGGTTGGTTGATTGATTGATTTTCTATAACATTCATCTCAATAAGTGACTCTGGGCAGAATATATCATTTATGGTTCCCTTTTGTGAGGATCTTGATATTTTGATTCCTAAGTTAACAACTAACAGAAACAACTCCCGGGTCAATCAAAGTGGATTCTGAATCCTATCCTGCCAATTAACTAATTTATCTCTCTAACTACCATATTGCCTCCTCGGAGATAGCTCCTGGCTGGCCTTCTTTAAGCCAGATCAGGTCTAATGTGTACTTCAATGGAAGTCTAGCAAGAAATATCATGGCTATAAGCTTGGCTAAAAAACATCCTCAAAGAAAACAATAGCAAAGCCACTTACTTTCCCATTAAAATGAACAGAAAGCCAGACAAATTTGTAGTGTCCAGTAATGAACCCCACAATAAAACTGAAATGCTTCTTTTCTGTGTTCAGCAATATATGGCATGGTTTTCTGTCTCTTAATATTGACCTAGCTAAAGTCAATGGGAAGTGTAAACACAGGGCAGATCTGGTCAATATATGCATCACCGTTGAAAGCTTTTAAGTGCACTTTTACGTATCTTTGTTTTCTTTCCTGCTGGTGCTATTGATGGTTATGTTTTCTTTTACTTCTCTACTTATTAGTCCATTCAGGAGAAAAAAAAACAACAAAAATAAAATCAGAACCACTCTTATGACACACCAGTAGCAAACCAATTAGTAGAGATTTCTTTTTGTCTGTCATCTGCATTGCCAGAGCCAGGAAAAAATTGTCATGTTGATTGGAATTATCAAGGGAGTAAATAGTAATGTGGGCTTTTCAGAGGGAAAAAAAAATCAGAATGCTTTTTTCTCTTGAAAATTTCCAGGGGACTAGATTATTTAGCAGTTGTTTCAGTGGCTTTGATTAGAGGATGAAGATTTAAACATCTCCAGATCCAGAACAATTCTCCTCATATGATTGGAGCCTTTTTGTAATCTCAATGTTACATTTCAATATTTTTTTTTAAACAAATAATTTAATTTTACTTTTTAGGGAAATAAGGATAAATATTTTAAGACCTGTCATCTCAAAGGCATAGTAGTCCTATACAGGGGGTGTGGAAGTTGCCAATTAGAATGGTGCTAGGACAGTGAAAAGCAAGCCGGAGTTAGTAATATAGTTTTCCTCAGCCAAACTGGTTGGGTCTACCATTCCCAGAATTCTCAGCCAGAATGATCACCAGCTTGCTGGCCAGGGAATTCTGGGAGGTGAAGTCCACATCTCTTAAAGTTGTCAAAGTTAAGAAACACTGCATTAGGCTATGTTAGTATCATACATGTCTTACAGGATGCACTATAATATTTGCCCCAATTTATGTTGATTTTATGAAGTAATACATGTTGCCACTTGGTAAATTTCCGTTGGAAAGAGTAGGCCTAAAAGAAGAAAAGACAGAAGTGATTATTTATGGATTTGGAGATAAAAGAGGAAGGGGAAAGAGCAATTACTTGATAGAAAGAAAGTAAAAGTCATACAATAATTCTCTTTCCTTTCTTTTTTCACTTTTCTTTTTTCTCTCTCTTTTTTCTCATTTTTCCTTTGATTTGTATACTTTTATTTATTGAAAAATTATATATATATTTTTAAAGAAGAGAAAAATGTAGGAATAGACCTAGTGTGCTAATAGCTACAACTTTATTCTACCTTTGCTTGGTGAAGGCTTGACAGGTAGGTCTTTCAAAATGCTTCAGATTTGTGTTAGCTGTTTGTTTAAATTTATTGGCTGCCCAATTCCAATGGACTCTAGACTACATTGACAACATTTATCCTTATTGCTACCTTTAAATAAGGGGTCAAAAAATTGGTATAGTTCCTTATCAATTGTTTTATATATCTCTATATAAAGTATTTGTCCAAGTTTGCTGTTTCCATACTGCTGCTTCTGGCTGGCATACGCAGGATTTGTACTGCATGCATCAGAGTTTGTGTGATTTTGCTCCGAGTGTATCCCAGAGCCTTGTATTTCCATTATATGAATGTGCAATGGTTCACCTTCATGGCTGCCAGAAGAAATCACTTCATACCAATGTTCATATACCATCTTGAGTTCCCTCAAGCAGCTTGCTGCAGAGAAGTCAACAGTGGAACTGTGGTGGGCTGTACAGGAACAATAAAAAACTGTCTAGTAAGCCAAGTCTTGTTAAGAGTTGCCCTATTTTGCTGAATTCAAGCAGCCTTTGACAATCCCTTGGCAGCTGGAAACAGGTACATGTACCTAAGAGAATTAGTCATTTTATAAACTTGAATTAAATAAATTCAACTTTGTTTTTCAATTTTGTAACCTACTCTCCCCATCCCATCTGCAATATGAGGATAATAAGATCTGCCAACATACTCTGTACTGGCTGTGTTTAAAATTAGCATGGTAATGTATGTGATAAAATGTGAACGGCTTTGATCACACAATAGAAAACAATTTAAATACATACTAAGCATTGTTAGCCAAACTACTCATTAGGGTTTGCCAGTGTTCTTGCTGGCTGGGAACACTGGAAGGTTTTTCTCTCAGCAACGCATCTGTGATTTCCTGCTGAGAAACATCACTGATCAAGAACATGGCATTTAAGAATAAAATTTTTGAATTCCTTAGCAAAGAATGGCTGCATACACTGTGACAAAGATTTGCAGCATGAAACTGCAAATATATTTTCCAAAGTATAATGTTATGACCAAACAGGGTCCTTTTCTGACAGATACCATGCTTCATTTGATCCAATGGACATCATTAATTTCCTCTAGCCCTCTATGTCCCTGCCCAAACCCTTCAGCCACTCTAAAAGGTATATGCATGATTATCAATCAAGTCACTGAAATGATAGGGGGGAGGGGGGAAATCATGGAAACACATGATTTTTTCCCCTATCATTTCAGTGACTTTACCTGACTCCAAGTTAAACTTGGTTTAAATTTGGTAACAACGGTAACAATGAATGGCAGTATTTATTTTCAAACCAGATATCTGAAAAACAATCAAATATCCTTCCTGCCTGTGCATTATCTAGGCTCCAATCGGTAAACTGAATGCAAGCCTTTCGATGCTGTTACATCATTGGCTAGATTAGAACAATTAAAGTCTTCTGAGCTGGGGGGGACCCTTCCCTTCTCCTTTGTAATAACAATCCATACATTGAAAAATGTCCCAGGGTTGAAAGCTGCTCTGGAAAGAGAACAGGGCTTAGTTCTGCGAGTCTTCCTTGGAAGGCAAGCAGGCTTTAGAAAGGAAAAAGCTCCCTTGGTATTCTAGATTATAGAATCTAGAATAAATGCAAAAATGCAAAATAAAGAGAGTGCCAAGCACAATCTCTTGCTTTTGCCCTATTGGGTAAGTAAATTGTAGGAAGGAGCTGAAAGTGAGGACTCTGTCTGACACTGTATGTAATAGAAAATGCTAAATCACACACATTTTAATCCCACTGCTACCCAATCACTCACCACATGCTCTTCATAACCCATGCATCCCAAAATCTGCCAAGCAGAGCAGATTTGTCTGCATTATCCAGCGTGGAGCAAGAATTAAATCAGGAACAGGCAAGGCTCAAGCTGAGGAGGAGAGTATTGACCCCAAAGGCGAGAAGTGGCACATACACTCCACCCACTCCTTGCTCCATAAATCAATTTTGAGTGAGGTGAAGCTGAAAAGACCTTTGGAAGAGCCCGAACATGGTGAGGGGAGGGGGGGTGAATGACGATAAGACTGGACTGATGATAAGGAGTTTGCAGCAGCAATAGCTATGAACTTCAGAGGAAAAAAAAACTGACTTCCTGGGCTAGCTGTATTCTGATTGTTTTTGTGCTGTTTCCGTCTTGGTTATATCTTCATGTCTTTCTTAGACTGAGTACTCCCACACGATCAAAATACCTGAACACTGAAAAATCTGGTGTTAATCTAACATAACAACTCCCTATCAGATTTCCTGCCATGTTTTAGGACAAGTTCAGCAATGAGAGGGCATGCTTTAGTGGGGAAGGACACTCACCTGCTTCATCTTCAGTCAGAATTTGCAGTTTGTTTCTTTCTCCTTTTGACTTCCCGGTGAAAAGGTAGAGCCTTTATTCCTTACAGAACCTACAGAATCAGAATCAGAATAGAGCTGGAAGAGAGCTTGGAGGTCTTCTAATCCAACCCCTTGCTCAAGCAGGTGATCCTATACCATTTCAAACAAATGATTGTCCAGTCTTTTCTTAAAAACCTTCAGTGATGAAGCACCCACAATTTCTGAAGGCAAGCTGTTCCACTGGTTAATTGTTTTGTTAGGAAGTTTCTCCTTAATTCCAGATTGTGTCTCTCCTTGATTAGTTTCCATCCATTGTTTCTTGTCTTGCCTTCTGGTGCTTTGGAAAGTAATTTGACCCCCCTTTTCTTTGTGTCAGCCCCTCAAATACTGGAATAGTGCTATCATGTTACCCAAGTCCTTCTTTTCTTTAGACCAGCCATATCTTTTTTGTAATGTGGTGACCAAAAATGGATACAGTATTCCAGGGGTGGTCTTACTAAGGATGTATAAAGCAGCACTAATACATCATGTGAACTTGATTCTATCCGTCTGTTAATGCAAGCTAGGACTTCATTAGCATTTTTGGTGCTGCTGCTCACTACTGGCTCATATTTAGGGAATGGCCCACTAAGACTCCAAGGTCCCTCACACAGTTACTGTTTTTGAGCCAGGTTTTGCCTAATCCATACTTGTACCTTTGGCTTTTGCTGCCTAAGTCTAAAGCCTTGGTTTTCTCCACATTAAATTTCATTTTGAAATTTATAGAACCTATGCAGAAGAAAATGGATGAGGGCAGCAGAGTCTTGTGAAAAAGCTCAGATTAACGTTACATATGTGACTATGAAATGACTAGGAACAGACTATCCAAGCTCAACACCATCCCTAGCTTGGAGAATCACTGGGTACTATTGAGCCATTGCATAACTGGGGGGAAATAATAGCAGTTAAAGATGTGTATGTGATGCTGAATTAGAATCTAGAAATAGATTTATGTTTTTTACCTACAAAGAAATAAAGGGAGACTAATATGGATCTATTTCAAGCTATTTAGCTCTCATCAGCTAGCCATACCCTTCTGGGATTTGATCCCAGGATGCTTGCATATTAGGTAGATGTATTAACCTCTAAGCCATGGATTCTCCTTGCTTTGTCGGCTATACCAGGGGACAGATTAGGTGTTTTTTCTCCGGTGGGACTGGTCTATCAGAGCAACCTGGTCTACCCAATTATGGGATGGAACATAGTGTTTCCATTTTCACATTTCCCATGGCTTAGAGGTTAATACATCTACCTAATATGCAAGCAAGCCCGGGTTCAAATCACAGAAGGGTATGGCTAGCTGATGAGAGCTTGAAATAGATCTAAACTAGTCCCCTTTTATTTCATTGTTGGTAAAAAACATAAATTTAACATAAAAATAGTTTGTCGCGAAAGTGATTGCCTGCAAAGGCCCCTGGATTGGGGCTGAAAGGCAAAAATAGAAGCAGTATGTTCCATCCCATAATTGGGTAGACCAGGTTGTCCTGATAGACCAGTCTAGACTGGTCCCACTGGAGAAAAAACACTTAATCCAGAAATAGGTTCAGCAAAGAGTATTATTGATATAGGTCCCTGATGGTGAACCTATGGCACATGTGCCAGAAGTGACATGCAGAGCCATGTCTCCGGGCATGCCAGCCATCACCCGTTGCTCTTCCAGGTTCTTTACATGCGTGGGAGTGCCAGGAACCAGAAGAGCAGCTCCCTGGCACACATTTGCACACCGTGAAGCTGAGCTTCTGATTTCTGGTCCGCGCATGCATGTCGGCCATCTGGTCTTAGCACACGCATGCAAGCCAGAAACCGAAAGACCAGGTGACCGGCGCACATGCACACATCGGAAACCAGAAGCTCAGCTTCCCAGTGTGCACTAGCACACCAGGGAACTGCTCTTCTGGTTTCTGGTGCTCACTCCCGTACTCCCATGCACTCCCGTTTCAGCACTCAGTTCCGAAAAGGTTTGCCAACACTGGTATAGGTGGAAAAAAATATGCTTCTGATATTAAAGATTAGATTCTTTAGCAATTTTTGAAATATCTTTATATTGTAAAAATGAGAAGTCAAAGTAAGGTGTTTCTTTTTGGCCTAGATTTAGTATGTTATGTGATTCTTTTTTATTTCTTTACTTCATTTTAATCACTATTGTGTATAAATTGTATTTTATTTCTACTGCATTATTATTACATTTTGAGTGTTATATTTCCCCATATTAAAAATGCTTAAAAAATAACTGAGACAGACATTGTTTTCAGTCTAATCTTCCTGTTGGGAAGGTAACATGAAGGGTGAACCCGTGTAAAGCTGTCTTGAGCTCTTGGAGGAAAGGAAAAATATATCTTCTAAGAAATAATTAAACCTTAAGAGAGTCCTAACCTTTTAACCATGGCTAACAATATTTCTAGAATGATAAGTGTATTACCTTCAGCAATAGTTGAGCAGGTCAGGATGAATTGTGAAGCCTTTTCACATGGATGTCAATCAAAGTATTTTGAAGGATTTGTTTCACTAATGTAATGCAACTATGAATGGACAATGTCACTTCTGATCAAAATTAGGGCCTTATATGGTTATTCCTTTGTATCAAAATAAAATAATTCTTCCACATAGATATGTCAGAGTAGAATATAATGGTTTTGCGTGTTGTTGCCCTGTTGTGCTAGTTTTCTGAAAGAGAGAGAGAAATATAAGGTTAATGTTGTATAATGATTAAGCTGCCAGACCAGGAACAGGAAGACTAAGTTCTAATCCTCCTTTAGGCATGGAAACTGGCTAGATCAGGGGTCACCAACCTTTCAGACCTCAGGGACCACTACATTCATAATTTTAAATCCAGTGGACCACTAATATGATTTGCTTAATGACCGGCTGGGTGGGTGTGGCAAGGTGATCATGTGACTGGGTGGGCATGACCAACTCGATGACACTCACGTCAAGGGGTGCCTTGCCAGCCTCTACTTGCTACTCCTCGCCTGCCCACCCGGGCTCTTTGCTGGAGCTAAGCAGCCACCATGAGAAAGAGTTGGCAAAACAGCTGGCTCAGCTCAAATTGAATCTGACCAAGAAGAAGGCTCAGCAGAAGCACCTCACTGAGGACTACGAGCATAGGCTTTCCAAGCAAAGGGAAGACCTGCAGGAGTGCAAGGCCAGGTACCAGCACCTGGAGGCTCAGCAGAGTGAGATGGTCAGCCAGTTCCAGGCCATGATGCAGTCCCACTGGAACAAGGCCCTCTGGCTCTTTGCCACCAGCGGCACTTCCCTCCAACCTTTGCCCAAAGTCCCACACCAGGAGGCTGAAGCAGAGCTCAAGTCGGAATTTCTGCCCGACCCACACAAAAAGACGCTGGAAGGGGAGACTCTCTGCAGCAACACAAAAGTTCATTGCATGTATCCGGCCCAGGGGCCGTAGTTTGAGGACCCGATTTAGTGCAATATAAAAAATATAAATAATTTACATTATTTACCTGAGCCTGAGTGGCGTAGGAGGCTAATGCCTCCTACTAAGGCAGCATTTAACATCCAGCTGCCTGCAATTACTGCGAGTTCGAATCTCACCAGGCTCAAGGTTGACTCAGCCTTCCATCCTTTCTAAGGTGGGTAAAATGAGGACCCGGTTTGTGGGGGCAATAAGCTGACTTTGTATAAAAATAAACAAAAGTATGAAGGCTATTGCTTAACGCATTGTAAGCCTCCCTGAGTCTCCAGAGAAGGGCGGCATATAAAAATAAATAAATAAATAAATAAAAATTTTCTGCAGACCACCAAAATTTTCTTGCGGACCACCAGTGGTCCATGGACCACCAGTTGGTGACCGCTGGGCTAAATAACTCTGGCCAGTCATTCTCTATGAGGCCTAGACTGGAAAGATTATAAAAATACATATCTGGAACAGCATGGTAGATTATGATTCATCAGTTTCAATAAAAACACCTTCATTTGGGTTGGTGATCATGAGTATTTGTGCCTCTCTGTGTGCATGTGCATATTCACATCTCTGTCTCACACACACACACACTGCCAGAGAAGAATCTGTGTTAGTTCATTGGAGCAAGAACAATAGCAAAAGTCTGATAGCATCTTGACTTAAAGACTGGAAATATATTGCTGTCCTGAACCAGAATCTAATGAAATTGGTTCCATTCCCAAATTTTGTAACATAGTAAAAGTGATTTATGGATCCATAAAGTAATTACAAAAAATAATGTTTCCCCTGTGGTGAAGACTTTTCTACTGTATGTATCCACATTTACAGTCAGTGTTGCTACAGCCAGATGTAGCGTGAGGATCACAATCACCACCAAGCTGTAGTTCACAGAGATAAGCAAGGCACTGTCTTTATTACAGCCAGTGCAAAATGAAATTCATCTATCAATATATGAAAGTGCATACCAAAACCATCCCTTTATATAATACAAGGTTGGGGATGATTGATAACAATAGGCAGACATACTTTTCAGAATACCATTGGTAATAATTGATAAGTTTTCCTAGCTCATTAACAATCCACTGCCATTTTGGTTGCTCTGCCGTTTCAGTCTTAGAACTTGCTGACCGCTTAAAACCCACAGAATGTGATTGTATTATCAGGAGTTTTGTCTGCAAAGCAGTTTTAGATTCTTAAAACATGACAGTCATGGATACACCTAATTAATTGCTCAATTAATTAGCAGAACTATACTGATCTGAAATCCTAGGAAGGATCCTCCATGTGTTCAGTCTTGGGCCACTCCAAGTAGCAAAAAGATATTGTTTCAGACCAGTGGTGAAATTCAAATTTTTTTACTACCCTTTCTGTGGGCGTGGCTTGATGGGTGTGATGTGGCTTGGTGGGCATGGCAGGGGAAGGATACTGCAAAATCTCCATTCCCACCCCACTCTGGGGCCATCCAGAGGTGGTATTTACCATTTCTCCAAACTACTCAAAATTTCTGCTACCGGTTCTCCAGAACCTATCAGAACCTGCTGGATTTCACCCCTATTTCAGACATTCCAAAGTTTTGAAGCCCTGTTGTTTATTCAGCCTCAGCACCTGTCTCTGAGTCTTTCAGTCAAATAGTTCATGAAATCCACTGACTGGATCAATACTAAATTCAGATCAGTCTACACTGAAAGTAATAGGGATGGAGAAATGTCAACAGTTGTTTTTCTGAGATGAACCATTAGTTTTCTGGCATATTAATTAGGTTCTAAACCACAAATGTTTGGACAGGATTCAGCTCAGGCAGGAGTTCTGAAACTGTCTCTTTAAAAACAAAAGAAAAGAAAAGTGATAATTAGAGGTGTACCTTAATTTACGTGGTAGATCAGGTGCCAACAGCTTCTCAACTGACAGCCAAGGCTTGTTCATTTCTCTCTCTCCAGATATGTCTAGGAATAAAATGCTTCCCCCCTGGCTTCATCATGAGCTGCCTTTCTCAAGCTGGCCTTTGTTTGTGACAAGGTTTTCCATTTTCCAGTGATGTATAAACTAGCCCAACTTTACTTTGTGCCTTCTGGCTAACAGCTGAAATCTTGGCAGTTGAAGCACATCCATGAGGAGGTGGGAGGTTGGGAAAAGCTTGTATGAAATGTTTTTAAATCTCAGTATTTGGGGACCAACGATAAGAGCGTCTCTTCAAAGAATAGCAGTGCCAATAGCAGTAGTTGACTAGGTCTAGAAGAGTCTCAGGCCTTGGGTTTATGGAAATATATTATGCTATGGAATTCATATAGGAAGCTCATCTCTGCAGCTTCCTTGTTGCCAGAGCAGAGGAAACTTGTACTAAAATCCTCCTCATCCCCCCCCTCCCCACCACCCACTCCCCACTATCTTGCATTTGCTGGGTCAGAGTAATTGCATCTTTCTCAGGCCAAGGCGCGATAAGAAGGAACTTTCTGATTTTTCCAGATGAGATCAGAGCTTGATTGCTTCCATTTAAGAAGAAAAGCGCCAGGACTCCAGCCTGTATGGGAGAATTTCATTGAATTTCACTTATTGTAACCGTTCAGCACAGAGGGACCTATATTCTGTGCACAAAAAAAAAAAGCATTCTCTTTTGGCTTTAGCTTTACGACAATAACTCCTAATTGTGAAAATGGATAAAGAGTTTTTACCAACCCCCTTCCCTTCCAGATGTGCTGGGACTGTGACTTCCAGAATATCCAGCTAGCATGGCCAAAACATCTTAAATCCATGGCTCAGATTAAGCCCTGGGGACAATGAGAGAATTTCCTGACTCCCCTTAGTTTATTGAGCTCATATCCCCCCATGTGAAGATCTAATAAAATTGTGAATTTGATCCATGCCAATGTTTTTGTTTTCTGCCTTTGTTGTCTATATCTATTCCCCCAGGCACCAGGAAAACAAACTCTCCATATACTGGAATTAGGCAAACATTCATTGTTGAAATTGTGTTTTTTACAATTTATGTCTCAGGAGCTGAGTTAAGGAAAGTTTGGAGACCATGGCAACTACAGGCATGTCCTAAGCAATCACAGCTCTGGCAATACAGGTTATTATTGTTCAGAAAACTTCATATAAGTGCAGTGAGTGGATGGTGGTGATCTGAATGAGGAGTGCCTCACATTTAGTTTGTTGCCATGGTCAGATTGGTTAAACTAAAGTTAATTTTCTTAAACTGGATGGAACAGCAGGATTTCCAGAGGATGCGTGGGGAATTTCTCAACCATCCAACAGGTGGTTCTGTTGATTGCCTAGTTAGCTTCTGACAACAGGTGGCAACCTGAACAATCAATGAAATTGTTCCCAAGTGGCCTCTTTCTGTGTGATGATCTGGGGACACAACTTGGCTTACTAAGACGTCCACAGTAAAAAAAGTGGATTGAATTAAGTGGATTGAAATGATGAAAGGAGCAATATGTATTCTGTTCATTTGTATGTATGTATGCAATGTGCATGTAAAAGGCGCTGCTTGTATTATCCATTCCCCACTTGCCCTGTCCCTTTAGATGTCTCACCAAGGAGCTGAAGCATTGGAGCACTGATAGAGAAATCCCAGAAATGAATCTGGTCAAGCTTGGATGTGAATTCAAGTGTTAGGGAAGTTAGGGAGGTGAAGCATCATTACTTTTCCTCCCTTACTACATCAGTGGGCTGTCAGCCAGGTGCCTCATTGAGGATAGTAAATTCCCTCTGAGGAAGAGATAGTCAGGAAGATCTCCTGCCTGATGGATGTGACTATTTTACTCAGCAGTTTTCCCATAGTCTGCCAGTTTTGCCTGAGTCTTTTCTCTGCCTAAAGTAGTGACTAGGAGTAACTTGATTGTCCTTGATTAATCTCTAACATGTTTTGTTATAGGTAACTTCAGGATGCTTCCTTCAACAAGAGTCAAAACAGTACTCCAAAATAGCTCAGGCAGATAACTTCCTAATTCAATGGGGTATTAGGAGGGTGAAAGGTTGGGAGATACAGCACAATCAAACTTGTAGGATTATGTCGTAGCCAATCTCAGCAAAAGTATTCTAGTCTTCATGGTTCTTGATTTCCTGGTCTAGTGGGACTAAAGATCTACCAATGTCATGAAGGGGCTTTGAAGGTGACAACCAGACCTTGAATTGCACCCAAAAGGTTATTGAGAGCAATAGAGTTCATGGATTAGTTGATTGTGTAACAAGGTGCTCCCCTTATGCCATTGCATTCTGAACCAATTGCAGCTTACAAGTGAAC